CTCCCGCATCTTCATCTTCATGATCATGCCCTTTGTCTGCTCTGTCATCTTCCTCATCATCATGTCCGGCATCTTCTACATGATGACCGTGTACTGCGTCTACTTCGTGATCATGTCCTGGAGATTCTTCGTCTTCTCGCCCGCCCTCGCCGAGGTTGTCTTGCTGCCCTTCCTCATTTCTTGCCCGGCCCCCATGGATGACTTCATAATCATCTTCATCACCTTGCCACCGATAGCCATCCATGAAACCACGCAAGAGCAGGTGGTCCCGCACCTGTACGGAATCCGGGTCCATAAGGCTCTTCAACTTGCATCTTCGACACGGACATCTTATCTCCGTCTCGTTCTTTTGAAGCAAATCGGCCTTCGCGGAGCTCAAAAACCTATTCACAATGCCTCCGGTCATCGTGCGTACCATGGTCGCCTGCGGAGTAGAGCAAAACGATATTTTTGAACAAAAAAAATTTGGCATGACTTTGCCTAAAAATAGGACCAAAAAGAATGCATAGTGCCAAATTCTCGCCGAAACGGAAATGAATCAACACTCCGGCAAAATATTGGCAACTATTGCATTTCAAATACCGGTACCTGCAAACAAAAACATATGCAACACCACAAACATATGTAGATCTAGCTAGGTCATAAAAAGTGCATGTGCATGTTGTTGGAGGGAGAAAAAGTAGATCTACAACATAAAGAAAGCTTTCCCCTTACTTACCTATCAAAGAATGTAATTTAACCACTTAATTTGGGTGAATCTATGGTGCAAATGAGGTGAGGAGGAGAAGGCAGCCGAGACAAGTTTGGAGGAGGAGGTGGAGAGAATAAAGTGGGGAAAGTGAGTGTGGTAGGTGGCTGTCCAAAATATCTAGCTGGTCTCATGTTACTAATGGCGCACCACCTAAAAATGCGCCATTAGTAACCCTGGTTACTAATGGCGCACCTGTTACGTGGTGCGTCATTACTAGTTTTGCAAAAAAATATAAAAAAAATGTTAGTAGTGGCGCACCGTGGATGTGGTGCGCCATTACTAGTTTGAACTAGTAATGACGCACTATACACTGGTGCGCCATTACTAGTTTTGAAAAAAAAAAGTAAAAAAATGTTGTTAGTAGTGGCGGACAGAGTGTGTGGTGCGCCGTTACTAGTTTACTAGTTAAAACTAGTAATGGCGCATTATGCCCTGGTGTGCCATTACTAGTTTTGGAAAAAAATTGTTAGTAGTGGCGCACCATGGATGTGGTGTGCCATTAGTGATATGGACACTAATGGCACACCTACACATGGTGCGCCACTGCTATATAGCAGTGGCGCACCACATATGCGGTGCGTCATTAATGTCCATATTAGCTATAGCCCTTTTACTAGTAGTGCGTAGCCTTATCTGTCTGGTCATGAACGTGTACGTACATACTGGTCAATCGGTCTTTCTGCAACGATGAACCGTGGCGGAGCAAGCGAAGGCATGTGTCGTAGTAAAGCCCCCGACGTAGCAGTTCAGGCAGTCCCGTCTAAACCGTGTACACGTACGTACATGCCATAGGGCTAAAAATACGGTCACATCTGTACATACAGGCGGGGTTCTCGAACGCGTACTCACGCATACGTACGGATAGGGCTCGTGTACATGGAGAGGCAACGGACGGCAGCAACGGCGTCTTGTTCATCGGCAGCCAGCCGGCTGAGTCGGAATGGAGAAACTATGTCATGTTTGTCGGGAGGCAACGAAATGTGTCATGTTCATCGGGAGCCAACCGGCTTGGACGGAACAGCCGAAACAGGGCCTCGCGTACCGCAGTACAGAGAAAACAGCATTTTGTTCGACTGCCTACAGAAACGGAGTCCTATTCATCGGGAAGGGTCTGGTGTATCACAAAACAGAGGAAACTGACTTCTGTTTGAGTCCCTACACTCGAAACGGGGTCCCGTTGATCGGGAGGAATGTGGCATACCGCAAACAGAGGAAACGGACTTCTGTTCAAGCGCCTACAGTCGAAATGGTGTCATGTTCATCCACTGTCTACTGCCTCGCTCCAGCTTCCATGGGCTATTGTTCATCCACATTCGACTTCCTGTGGCCTCCACCAGCTACTGTTCATCCACGGGCTACTGTTCATCCTGCCTTTATCGGCTACTGTTCATCCAGCCCTCACGGGGTCCTGTTCATCCACCCCAAACCGGCTGGGGTGCGCCGGCCTCCTCGGGGTCATGTTCATCCAGCGGCAACCGCCTACTACCACGGGGTCCCGTTCATCCAACCCCTGTTGGGAACTATTCATCGACTGCCAATCAACCGGCTCGACTCACCCCGTCTTGACTCGTTCTACGTACCGCATGCACTGTAGCAATGGTCACTGTTCATCGAGAGGCAACCCAACACTGGCTGGCTATGTGTCGCACGGGGGCTCGATCGGCTTCAGTAAGCAGCAGCAGTGATCGTTCATGCGGGTTTAGTTAGCACCAGCAGCGAAGGAATCGCTCGGGTTCAGTTAACAGCCAAGGGATCGATCACTCGGGATCAGTAACGTAGATAGTGTGATTGCTCGGGTTCAGTTAGCCAATGCCTCGCATACACGCGCGTACACGAAAGAAACGCGCAAACCACAATGCATCGCTTGGCCCCGACCACCCAACGTAACCGGGAACTCCCCTATATTTTCCTCGCCTTCGCTTCTACCATGATTTCTCCATCATGGACAGCCCAAAGAATGTCGTGCAGGTGCGTCTCCGGCCCGCCCAGGACGAAAAGCCTATTTTCTGTCATTTTTTTGTCATAGAAGTAGGGGCCCACCAAACCTATGATAATACGTGTTTTTGTCACAATTATCGTCATAGAAGTGTCATACGTTTGACAGAAAAACTTTTCGTTCGGGCCAAAATGTTACGGATGTGTATTTTTTTGTAGTGCTCCCTCCAAGCTATTTGAGTTCATATTCCACCGAGAGAGAAAACGCAGAGCCAAAAAATTAGAGAGTGGTCTAGCATCACTAGAATCTAAGTCTAGTATGCTCCGCCTATTACTCTTGAGAACGGTCAACTCCCTAGACGGTTAGGTGTCAAGTTCTTCAGTAACCAAGAGTAATTGTGGTCCATGAAGACAAAGTATGTGAAGGTTTGGATATTATCTCAAGCATCTACCACGAGTAATCGACACTGGTTGACGAATTAATTGTCGGGGAGAACAGGACGAAGAGAATTTATCTTCTATGTTCAATCACAAGTTCCTCCAACCAGACGTAGCACTTTTGCAGAAGAATGAACTGGTCAAACAAATACCCTATCGTCATCGAGCATCACTGGTCACCTCTGTACCCTATTTACTTTCAGTACTCGGTCTTGAATTATGGTTAGACCATGTGATTGTCTCTCGATGTATGCTTTAGTTTTCCTTCGATAGTTTTCATTCCTAGACTTGTTCCTGTCTAGTTACTTCCATTGTTGTGTCTGAGATATTTGAAGTTTCCCGAACACCCCCCTGCTCTGGTAGACATATTTCATTCCTACATCCCCTCTCCATCAAACGGTGGTGCCGTGGTGGTGTCCTCTCCCCTGATACCTATCCCTCTCCTCAATTGCGACATACGAAGATGGTGAGGAGCCTCTCCGCGATGCCCGCCCAGTTTCTATAGTGGAGGTGCCACCTCGTGGCCCCCCTAGCACCAGCAGCCGTGAATATGGATTCGTCTGGTGCGAAGGACGTGGTGCCCGCTCGATTAAAGAAAGAGGGATCTGGCCTTCCATTTTTTAGATAGGGCAAAGAAAGTGGCAGAGGTGCTCGCGGGAAAACACGGTGATGCAGCAGCACTACTCCAGCCAAAGGGGCTCAATGAGATGGAGCTCGAGGAGGACAAGCACGTTCTCTTCCGCTCAGTCTACCCTTCCCACGACGATGAGCGGTGGCGTGGGGAAGCGGCGGGGCGCTTCAAGGAGGAGTGGCGGGGGAAGTGTCAGGCGAGCATGTAGCCAACATGGGACGACTCGTGGTTGAACGGTTGTCGCAAGAGTAGAAGGCAGAGTACCATCGCAAGCTCTGGCACCACGAGCACCTCTCGGCCCTAGTGGTATTACAAGCCGCCCATGACCAGGTATGGGACGAGCTTTGGAAGGACCATACCAAGAGGAGGCAGCAGCTGGAATAGAGGATGAGGTAGCAGCGATGACGTCAACCGCCAACGACGTCATCATCCTCTCCTTGGACTCTGGCAACAGGGACTTGGACGGCGGTCCAGAAGCTAATCTTCTCTGTTTGTATTACCTTTAATTTTGGTTCTTTTAGGATATATTTTGCTTTAACTAGTCGAGATTAGCTCAAATTTGATAGGGTCATCATCCTCTCAATTAATGGCAACTTGTAGTTAAGGAGTTTTTATGAAGTGCATAATCATATGGCATATGATGAAAAACACGGGAAAGATCGAGTTTGAAATTGTGATTTTTAGAGGGTAAGATTTTGAGGATTGTTTACAAACGAGGCTCCCAAGTCCCAATACACTGGGTTTTATAGAAGCAGGTTTTTGGGAGTTCAATTTTAGCGTTCGGGTTCGTAAGAGAATGGTACTGAAACTGAAACGTTTGCCATCGCGAGGTCGTCGTTGAATTTCTTCCATGGACTTGCGATGCATTGCTGCTGCAGCTCTTGGCATTCAAAGCTAACTGATACATAAGTCAAGGCCGATTAATAACAGTCATTATATACTGCCGATTACTGTCTAATATCTTCATCCAAAATGCACACCGAAAAAACTAGAGCATAATGCTACTGCATTGCAAAGCATAAAAGAATTATCATGAAGGCAGGAAGCCTGCATACCCCATTAAGCATCTTCAATATCTAAAATCAGAACAAGAGTGAATCCAAGTGGCGCTCAAGCAAAACCAACGACACAACGAAGCAACTGCTCACACCCTATTGAGTGCGTCAACACATAAATTCTGTCTCCGACAAAGAGCAAAAACAGCATTGTAAATCCTTCCCAGCTCAGGATCAACTCTCTTCTTGATCAAACTCTGGGCACGCCTAGCATTCCTCGTGCTTTAGCCAACCCCAGCTGAAGCATCCTCGTCGCACTTTCTTTTTTGGAGCCAGATTCCTGGGCCTCGATCTCTAAGGGCTTAGGGCTGCGGCTACCTGACCCTTTGCTCTCGATATCATCAGTTCCCGTGTCGGGATCGGCTCCACCATGGGCGACATTGGCTTCAGTTCCACCATGAGCAACATTGGCTTCAGCTCCACCATGGGCGGTGGCCTTGAATTGAACCAGTATAATGGTCAAATTCTCCTTTGAGCCCTCGCGCAGGCATGAATCAAGAAGTTTTTCACAGATGGTTCCCGGATCTTTCTCCTCCTGCGTTGATCACGCAATATGTCAGAAGCAATAGGAACGACAATTCCATGAGAAAATGAAAATCAACCCAGGCATAGAATATATATTAGGTACCAAGTATTAGCATGCGTGGAGTCATTCCTTGAACAACATTATGCTACCCAATAAATGTTTCTTCATCCAGTAGGATGTTTATTTTAAATACAGTATCACTCCTAGTCACAAGCAGATTTTTTTAAGAAGAAAGAAGACTCACCGATTGCAAGCATTGGTGTACAAAATTAACCACCTGCCGACTTGTCATGACATCCCTGTAGAAAAAAAAACAAGAATTGTGTAACTTTGTTATGGTAATATATACTCCCTCCGTTCCTAAATATAAGTCTTTTTAGACATTTCAAATGGACTACAACATACGGATGTATGTAGACATGTTTTAGAGTGTAGATTCACTCATTTTGCTCCGTATAGAGTCACTTGTTGGAATCTCTAGAAAGACTTATATTTGGGAACGGAGGGAGTACAAACGAAATTATATTAGTACGAAACAAGGGAACAAAATTATGTCCCTTTGTAATAGTGGCTGCATATCAGATCGTGGTGACTGGTAAGGTGGCCTTGCTCACTTATTAGTTTTAGCATTCTTCCGAATGAAAAGAAAACTTGGCACAACTCCTATTGGAATAAATCTTTCATTAAGCACTAAGTTGGTTAAGAAGAGGAAGCAAACATACCAATCTGTCATCTCCAAATAGAAAATCAACATTGCAAGGAACCATCAAATTTAATTAATTTTGTACACACTACAGAGAACTAGTTAACCTAGGAATTGGCAAATGTTGCTCCTTTCACTAACTTGAACTCGGGAAACAATTTAATATCCTACAGTTCGAGAAATGGAAAACTGAATTACACATCACGATGAAGAAACTCAGACCATTGTAGTAAGTACCAGGCAGATCAAACTTAACTAAACCAAAATGTTATAAACATCTGGTGATAAATACTAATGAAGCCTACCATGAAACAGGCACGAAAAAATAGTAATTGGGAGTAAGTTCACTATAGATCAAGTATTGTACTTAGAATTAAGTCATAATGAAACAGCCTCTTATGTTATTTTTAGCTCAGACTTACCAGATACCTGCACTTGCTATAACAAAAAATTGAGTATCATTTGTTATCGGCACCTAGAAAAACAAAAGATCATTTCCATAAGACCACACCTATCAGAAACAAATGTACACAGAGCTTAACCAATAGAGTTGCAAACGTACATCGCATATGTCTGGACAACATGTCACCATTTGATCTTGACACGACAAAGTCGGGTCCTGCTGTTGGAAATATGCCCTAGAGGCAATAATAAAAGTATTATTATTATATTTCCTTGTTCATGATAATTGTCTTTTATTCATGCTATAACTGTATTATCCGGAAATCGTAATACATGTGTGGATACATAGACCACAATCTGTCCCTAGTGAGCCTCTAGTTGACTAGCTCGTTGTGATCAACAGATAGTCATGGTTTCCTGGCTATGGACATTGGATGTCATTGATAACGGGATCACATCATTAGAAGAATGATGTGATGGACAAGACCCAATCCTAAGCCTAGCACAAGATCATGTAGTTCGTATGCTAAAGCTTTTCTAATGTCAAGTATCATTTCCTTAGACCATGAGATTGTGCAACTCCCGGATACCGTAGGAGTGCTTTGGGTGTACCAAACGTCACAACGTAACTGGGTGGCTATAAAGGTGCATTACAGGTATCTCCGAAAGTGTCTGTTGGGTTGGCACGAATCGAGACTGGGATTTGTCACTCCGTGTAAACGGAGAGGTATCTCTGGGCCCACTCGGTAGGACATCATCATAATGTGGTCAATGTGACCAAGGAGTTGATCACGGGATGATGTGTTACGGAACGAGTAAAGAGACTTGCCGGTAACGAGATTGAACAAGGTATCCGGATACCGACGATCGAATCTCGGGCAAGTATCGTACCGATAGACAAAGGGAATTGTATACGGGATCGATTGAGTCCTTGACATCGTGGTTCATCCGATGAGATCATCGTGGAACATGTGGGAGCCAACATGGGTATCCAGATCCCGCTGTTGGTTATTGACTAGAGAACGTCTCGGTCATGTCTGCATGTCTCCCGAACCCGTAGGGTCTACACACTTAAGGTTCGATGACGCTAGGGTTATAAAGGAAGCTTGTATGTGGTTACCGAATGTTGTTCGGAGTCCCGGATGAGATCCCGGACGTCACGAGGAGTTCCGGAATGGTCCGGAGGTAAAGATTTATATATAGGAAGTCCTGTTTCGGCCATCGGGACAAGTTTCGGGGTCATCGGTATTGTACCGGGACCACCGGAAGGGTCCCGGGGGCCCACCGGGTGGGGCCACCTGCCCCGGGGGGCCACATGGGCTGTAGGGGGTGCGCCTTGGCCTACATGGGCCAAGGGCACCAGCCCCTAGAGGCCCATGCGCCAAGATATAGGAAAAAGGGGAGAGTCCTAAAGGGGGAAGGCACCTCCGAGGTGCCTTTGGGAGGATGGACTCCTCCCCCCCTCTTAGCCGCACCCCTTCCTTGGAGGAAGGGGCAAGGCTGCGCCTCCCCCCTCTCCCTTGCCCCTATATATAGTGGAGGGGAGGGAGGGCATCCATACCTGAGCCCCTGGCGCCTCCCTCCCTCCCGTGACACCTCCTCCTCTCCCGCAGGTGCTTGGCGAAGCCCTGCAGGATTGCCACGCTCCTCCATCACCACCACGCCGTTGTGCTGCTGCTGGATGGAGTCTTCCTCAACCTCTCCCTCTCTCCTTGCTGGATCAAGGCGTGGGAGACATCGTCGAGCTGTATGTGTGTTGAACGCGGAGGTGCTGTCCGTTCGGCACTAGATCATCGGTGATTTGAATCACGACGAGTACGACTCCATCAACCCCGTTCACTTGAACGCTTCCGCTTAGCGATCTACAAGGGTATGTAGATGCACTCTCCTTCCCCTCGTTGCTGGTCTCTCCATAGATAGATCTTGGTGACACGTAGGAAAATTTTGAATTTCTGCTACGTTCCCCAACAGTGGCATCATGAGCTAGGTCTATTGCGTAGATTCTATGCACGAGTAGAACACAAAGTAGTTGTGGGCGTTGATTTTGTTCAATATGCTTGCCATTACTAGTCTTATCTTGATTCGGCGGCATCGTGGGATGAAGCGGCCCGGACCAACCTTACACGTACTCTTACGTGAGACCGGTTCCACCGACAAACATGCACTAGTTGCATAAGGTGGCTGGCGGGTGTCTGTCTCTCCCACTTTAGTCGGATCGGATTCGATGAAAAGGGTCCTTATGAAGGGTAAATAGCAATTGGCATATCACGTTGTGGTCTTTGCGTAGGTAAGAAACGTTCTTGCTAGAAACCCATAGCAGCCACGTAAAACATGCAAACAACAATTAGAGGACGTCTAACTTGTTTTTGCAGGGTATGCTATGTGATGTGATATGGCCAAAAGGATGTGATGAATGATATATGTGATGTATGAGATTGATCATGTTCTTGTAATAGGAATCACGACTTGCATGTCGATGAGTATGACAACCGGCAGGAGCCATAGGAGTTGTCTTAATTTGTTTATGACCTGCGTGTCAACATAAACGCCATGTAATTACTTTACTTTATTGCTAACCGGTAGCCATAGTAGTAGAAGTAATAGTTGGCGAGACAACTTCATGAAGACACGATGATGAAGATCATGGTGTCATGCCGGTGACGATGATGATCATGGAGCCCCGAAGATGGAGATCAAAAGGAGCAAAGTGATATTGGCCATATCATGTCACTATTTGATTGCATGTGATGTTTATCATGTTTATACATCTTATTTGCTTAGAATGACGGTAGTAAATAAGATGATCCCTTACAACAATTTCAAGAAGTGTTCTCCCCTAACTGTGCACCGTTGCGACAGTTCGTGTTTCGAAGCACCACGTGATGATCGGGTGTTAGATTCTAACGTTTAAATACAACGGGTGTTGACGAGCCTAGCATGTACAGACATGGCCTCGGAACACATGCAAAACACTTAGGGTTAACTTGACGAGCCTAGCATGTACAGACATGGCCTCGGAACACGGAGACCAAAAGGTCGAGCATGAGTCGTATAGTAGATACGATCAACATAAAGATGTTCACCGATGATGACTAGTCCGTCTCACGTGATGATCGGACACGGCCTAGTTTGACTCGGATCATGTAATCGCTTAGATGACTAGAGGGATGTCTATCTGAGTGGGAGTTCATAAGATGAACTTAATTATCCTGAACATAGTCAAAAGGATTTTGCAAATTATGTCATAGCTCACGCTATAGTTCTACTGTTTAGATATGTTCCTAGAGAAAAAATAGTTGAAAGTTGATAGTAGCAATTATGCGGACTAGGTCCGTAAACTGAGGATTGTCCTCATTGCTTCATAGAAGGCTTATGTCCTTAATGCACCGCTCAGTGTGCTGAACCTCGAACGTTGTCTGTGGTTGTTGCGAACATCTGACATACACGTTTTGATGACTACGTGATAGTTCAGTTAAACGGTTTAGAATTGAGGCACCAAAGATGTTCTTTGAAACGTCGCGAAACATATGAGATGTTTTGAGGGCTGAAATTGGGATTTCAGGCTCGTGCCCATGTCAAGAGGTATAAGACCTCCGATGACTTTCTTAACCTGCAAACTAAGGAGAAAAGCTCAATTGTTGAGCTTGTGCTCAGATTGTCTGAGTACAACAATCGCTTGAATCGAGTGGGAGTTAATCTCCCAGATAAGATAGTGATGTTTCTCCGAAGTCATTACCACCAAGCTGCTAGAGCTTCGTGATGAACTATAATATATCGGGGACATATATGATGATCCTTGAGATATTCGCGATGTTTGACACCGCGAAAGTAGAAATCAAGAAGGAGCATCAACTGTTGATGGTTGGTGAAACCACTAGTTTCAAGAAGGGCAAGGGCAAGAAGGGATACTTCATGAAACGGCAAATCAGCTGCTGCTCTAGTGAAGAAACCCAAGGTAAAACCCAAACCCGAGACTAAGTGCTTCTATAATAAGGGGAACAACCACTGGAGCAGAGTTACCCTAGATACTTGGTAGATAAGAAGGCTGGCAAGGTCGATAGAAGTATATTGGATATACATTGTGTTGATGTGTACTTTACTAGTACTCCTAGTAGCACCAGGGTATTAGATACCGGTTCGGTTGCTAAGTGTTAGTAACTCGAAACAAAAGGCTACGGAATAAACGGAGACTAGCTAAAGGTGAGCTGACGATATGTGTTGGAAGTTTTTCCAAGCTTGATATGATCAAGCATCGCACGCTCCCTCTATCAAAGAGATTGGTGTTAAACCTAAATAATTGTTATTTGGTGTTTGCGTTGAGCATAAACATGATTGGATTACGTCTATCGCAATACGGTTATTCATTTAAGGAGAATAATGGTTACTCTGTTTATTTGAATAATACCTTCAATGGTCTTACACCTAAAATGAATGGTTTATTAAATCTCGATCGTAGTGATACACATGTTCATGCCAAAAGATAGTAATGATAGTACCACCTACTTGTGGCACTACCACGTAAGTCATATCGGTATAAAACGCATGAAGAAGCTCCATATTGATGGATCTTTGGGCTCACTCGTTTTGAAAAGTTTGAGACATGCGAACCATGTCTATTGGTGTGTATGCATGAAGAAACTCCATGCAGATGGACCGTTTGAACTCACTTGATTTTGAATCACTTGGGACATGCAAATCATACCACATGGGCAAGATGACTGAAAAGCCTCGTTTTTCAGTAAGATGGAACAAGATAGCAACTTGTTGGAAGTAACACATTTTGATGTGTGCAGTCCAATGAGTGCTGAGGCATGCAGTGAATATCATTATGTTCTTACTTCACAGATGATTCGAGTAGATGTTGAGTATATTTACTTGATGAATCACGAGTCTGAATTATTGAAAGGTTCAAGTAATTTCAGTGTGAAGTTGAAAGATCGTCGTGACAAGAGGATGAAAGATCTATGATATGATCATAGAGATGAATATCTGAGTTACGAGTTTTGGCACAGAATTAAGACATTGTGGAAATTGTTTCACAACTGATACATCCTGGAACACCATAGTGTGATGGTGTGTCTGAACGTCATAGTTGCACCCTATTGGATGTGGTGCATACCATGATGTCTCTTATCGAGTTACCACTATCGTTCATGGGTTAGGCATTAGAGACAACCACATTCACTTTAAATAGGGCACCACATAATTCCGTTGAGATGACACCGTATGAATTATGGTTTAGAGAAACATAAGCTGTCATTTCTTAGATGTTTGGGGCTGCGATGCTTATGTGGAAAAGTTTCAGGCTGATAAGCTCGAACCCAAAGCGGATAAATGCATCTTCATAGGACACCCAAAAACAGTTGGGTATACCTCCTAATTCAGATCCGAAAGCAATAGGGATTGTTTCTTGAATCGGGTCCTTTTTGAGGAAAGGTTTCTCTCGAAAAGTTGAGTGGGAGGATGGTGGAGACTTGATGAGGTTATTGAACCGTCACTTCAACAAGTGTGTAGCAGGGCACAGGAAGTTGTTCCTGTGGCACGTACACCAACTGAAGTGGAAGCTTATGATAGTGATCATGAAACTTCGGATCAAGTCACTACCAAACCTCGTGGGATGACAAGGATGCTTACTACTTCAGAGTGGTACGTAATCCTGTCTTGAAAGTTATGTTGCTAGACAACAATGAACCTACGAGCTATGGAGAAGCGATGGTGGGCCCAAATTCCGACAAATGGTTAGAAGCCATAAAATCCGAGATAGGATCCATGTATGAAAACAAAGTGTAGACTTTGGAAGAACTATTTGATGGTCGTAAGGCTTTTAGGTACATATGGATTTTGAAAGGAAGACAGACAATGATGGTAAGTGTCACCATTGAGAAAGCTCGACTTGTCGTTAAGATGTTTTTCGACAAGTTTAAGAAGTTGACTACGATGAGACTTTCTCACTCGTAGCGATGCTAAGAGTCTGTTGGAATTATATTAGCGATTACTGCATTATTTATGAAATCTTGCAGATAGGATGTCAAAACATTGTTTCCTCGACGATTTTCTTGAGGAAAGGTTGTATGTGATACAACCGGAAGGTTTTGTCAATCCTGAAAGATGCTAATAAGTATGCAAAGCTCCAGCTATCCTTCTGAGGACTGGAGTAAGCATCTCGGAGTTGGAATGTATGCTTTGATGAGATGATCAAAGATTTGGGTGTATACAAAGTTTATGAGAAACTTGTATTTCCAAAGAAGTGAGTGGGAGCACTATAGAATTTCTGATGAGTATATGTTGTTGACATATTATGGATCAGAAATGACATAGAATTTCTGAAAAGCATATAGGGTTATTTGGAAAGTGTTTTTCAATGGAAAGCCTGGATTAAGCTACTTGAGCATTGAGCATCAAGATCTATAAGGATAGATCAAAACGCTTAATGGTACTTTCAAATGAGCACATACCTTGACATGATCTTGAAGGTGTTCAAGATGGATCAGCCAAAGAAGGAGTCCTTGCCTGAGTTATAAGGTATGAAGTTAAGACTTAAAGCTCGACCACGGCAGAATAGAGAAAAAAGACGAAGGTCGTCCCCTATGCTTAAGACGTAGGCTCTACAGTATGCTATGCTGTGTACCGCACCTGAAGTGTGCCTTGCCATGAGTCAGTCAAGGGGTACAAGAGTGGACTAAGGAATTTTCTCAATTATGGAGGTGGTAAAAGAGTTCGTCGTAAAGGGTTACGTCGATGCAAGCTTAACACCTATCCGGATAGCTCTGAGTAGAGATACCGGATACGTATAATGGAGCAACAATTTAGAATAGCTCCAAGTAGAACAGTTATTTGGAATAGCTCCAAATAGAACGTGGTAGCTACATCTAGGAGATGACATAGAGATTTGTAAAGCACACACGGATCTGAAAGGTTCGGACCCGTTGACTAAAACCTCTCTCACAAGCAACATGATCAAACATAAAACTCATTGAGTGTTAATCACATAGTGATGTGAACTAGACTACTGACTCTAGTAAGCTCTTGGGTGTTAGTCACATGGCGATGTGACCTGTGAGTGTTAATCACATGGCGATGTGAACTAGATTATTGACTCTAGTGCAAGTGGGAGACTGTTGGAAATATGCCCTAGAGGCAATAATAAAAGTATTATTATTATATTTCCTTGTTCATGATAATTGTCTTTTATTCATGCTATAACTGTATTATCCAGAAATCGTAATACATGTGTGGATACATAGACCATAATCTGTCCCTAGTGAGCCTCTAGTTGACTAGCTCGTTGTGATCAACAGATAGTCATGGTTTCCTGGCTATGGACATTGGATGTCATTGATAACGGGATCACATCATTAGGAGAATGATGTGATGGACAAGACCCAATCCTAAGCCTAGCACAAGATCATGTAGTTCGTATGCTAAAGCTTTTCTAATGTGCAACTCCCGGATACCGTAGACCATGAGACCATGAGATTGTGCAACTCCCGGATACCGTAGGAGTGCTTTGGGTGTACCAAACGTCACAACGTAACTGGGTGGCTATAAAGGTGCATTACACGTATCTCTGAAAGTGTCTGTTGGGTTGGCACGAATCGAGACTGGGATTTGTCACTCCGTGTAAACGGAGAGGTATCTCTGGGCCCACTCGGTAGGACATCATCATAATGTGGTCAATGTGACCAAGGAGTTGATCACGGGATGATGTGTTACGGAACGAGTAAAGAGACTTGCCGGTAACGAGATTGAACAAGGTATCCGGATACCGACGATCGAATCTCGGGCAAGTATCGTACCGATAGACAAAGGGAATTGTATACGGGATCGATTGAGTCCTTGACATCGTGGTTCATCCGATGAGATCATCGTGGAACATGTGGGAGCCAACATGGGTATCCAGATCCCGCTGTTGGTTATTGACTAGAGAACGTCTCGGTCATGTCTGCATGTTTTCCGAACCCGTAGGGTCTACACACTTAAGGTTCGATGACGCTAGGGTTATAAAGGAAGCTTGTATGTGGTTACCGAATGTTGTTCGGAGTCTCGGATGAGATTCCGGACGTCACGAGGAGTTCCGGAATGGTCCGGAGGTAAAGATTTATATATAGGAAATCCTGTTTCGGCCATCGGGACAAGTTTCGGGGTCATCGGTATTGTACCGGGACCACCGGAAGGGTCCCGGAGGCCCACCGGGTGGGGCCACCTGCCCCGGGGGGGCACATGGGCTGTAGGGGGTGCGCCTTGGCCTACATGGGCCAAGGGCACCAGCCCCTAGAGGCCCATGCGCCAAGATATAGGAAAAAGGGGAGAGTCCTAAAGGGGGAAGGCACCTCCGAGGTGCCTTGGGGAGGATGAACTCCTCCCCCCCTCTTAGCCGCACCCCTTCCTTGGAGGAAGGGGCAAGGCTGCGCCTCCCCCCTCTCCCTTGCCCCTATATATAGTGGAGGGGACGGAGGGCATCCATACCTGAGCCCCTGGCGCCTCCCTCCCTCCCGTGACACCTCCTCCTCTCCCGCAGGTGCTTGGCGAAGCCCTGCAGGATTGCCACGGTCCTCCATCACCACCACGTCGTTGTGCTGCTGCTGGATGGAGTCTTCCTCAACCTCTCCCTCTCTCCTTGCTGGATCAAGGCGTGGGAGACATCGTCGAGCTGTACGTGTGTTGAACGCGGAGGTGCTGTCCGTTCGGCACTAGATCATCGGTGATTTGAATCACGACGAGTACGACTCCATCAACCCCGTTCACTTGAACGCTTCCGCTTAGCGATCTACAAGGGTATGTAGATGCACTCTCCTTCCCCTCGTTACTGGTCTCTCCATAGATAGATCTTGGTGACACGTAGGAAAATTTTGAATTTCTGCTACGTTCCCCGACACCTGCTTGAACTGAAAATCACCTGAGATGTATGAAGTCAAAATGCCCGTCAGCAATGAATAGATTGTATACACAAATGTCAGCGAAATAAAATAAAGAATATACCAATCGATCTGGATATGTGTAATATTCCCTCAATGCGATGGATGCCCAACTTCATGTCAGCCATAACTTTCTTTGGGATATCATCCATGCGCACTTGTCCTCCTGCCTTTTCAATTCTCTTTCTTTCATGTCGGTAGTTTGGTTTGTGATCCATCGAGAGATCAATTGCCTTGCCATAAAAATTTGATGTAGGAAAACTGTCAAGCACCACTTGAATGCCTTCATTATGACATAATAGTATTGCCCCACATGACCGTTCACTATACCTGACCATTCCTTGAGATCACACAACGGGAATCGCCCACATTTGCAACATAGATACGGTTGCCCCTGATGACAGCCACGCATGCTGTGCTTCCTTCATGTAGAGGGGGCAGATAAGGTGCCTGAAGAACAAATTCCAAACTGAGATACACTACGAAAAAGAGTCAAAACCGAATGAAAAATTAGGCTATAAAGAAAGAAGCAGCGAGTGCCGCCATCAGGGAGGGAATTGGTCGATGTGCCCTTCGATAAAAGAAGCAAACAATGTATCGTCAAAATCAAACACAGGAAAAGGGTTATTTGTCATGCGGTATCTCCGTTTTAAAAACATCCAGTATCACCTTGGGGAGCCAGTTAGCACCACAAACATCAGTCCATAGCCACCTTATCAAATTTCTGATGTCAGGAGAATAAGCCAAGTCCCTCCTCCATTCATCCGATTCTTGCAACTTCTCATCAATGCTGTAACAAGCATACAATAATTGCATTTTCAACATCAACACATCCAACGAGAAGTAACTTATTTAGCAATTGCATCTATGTAGAGAATGGGTACAACATTGGTACTTTCTGAAACACCAACATAGCATTGTCCCGTCCACCTTTCAATATTGTAAAGGAAGTGCATATATATGGGTGCCAATTATGTGGACATATATGTAGAGACACTTAACGATGTCTCTTGTGTAGGCCATATTTGATCATATTGTGTAATGAAATTTCAAATATTTCCATTTTATAGTTAAAATCTATAATTGTTTAAATGTCATGCCTCTGCCGATATCGTAAACTCCCCAACACATGTTCCATATGTGGCTCTCCATACTTGCCTAAAATGTAGAGTACATGATTTAATCATCTAAATAACCTGGAATACACATTCTTCAATGCGCCAGGCAGATTGAGGACATAGCTTGGATCCTTTTTAAGCTCTTCATGAAACTTCCTCGAACAATAAGATGCTACTTCCGCTCCTAAGAGAAAAAAGATTCAACTCAACAAACATATATAACAGAAAACAAGGGTTGAATCAAACACACGCATGTACAAACTCATGCATGAAAACAGTGTAAAAATCATCACAAGCTCATGTGTGATACAGTAATAGAAAATGTGTGTATCGCTGTACAGAAAACTCACTGAAGTTCTGAGCACAGTAGTGCTAACATACCACCCTCCAACTCCTTTCCCAAAAACAGATCAAATAAATGTTTGGCCCCTCACAATTTATATTTAATTGACAGCTCATAATTATAATAAATAATGCACATTCAAAGCATATGCATGAATAGTGTAATACACAGATGCACATGAAACGTATCTTTGGATAACTATGAATTCTATTAGATTACTATAATAACTTCTTTTATTATGTTTTAAGAGTATCAGAATAGATATCAAACCTCCATGGCCATCATAAACACCAAAAAATAATGTGGGCGCATAATCTAGTAGATGTACGTGAGATGCCCACTGCAAACAAGACAGGTAAGAATCAAATTCAGTACTGTAATGGCAAACAAAATCGATAATACATAGAACTATCATCTCAATGATTCTCTGAACTACTGAATTAGAACTTACGGTAGCTTCCATTTCATCACGGCACCCTTGCATAGATGATGCCCCATACCTGATTACGTCATTCTCTGCTCTTCTAGTACGCTTATATGTTATTGCCTTCCCCATTGCTGGGTCACACTGCTGAAAGATTCAGTACAAAATATAACATGAAAATCCTTATCAGCGAAAACTAGTTACTTCTAAACTAAATGTACTAACACAACTTGGATTTAAGAGCCCCTGGGTGGATAAGGTATGCTTATTAATCAGAAAAAAATGCATAAACAGTACACAATTCAGGGCTTTCACTGAATATTATCCAGCTGAATCAAACTAATACATGATTTACAATCAACATCGCCAAATAACTCAGGCCGGCACACTCGAAGGGAGAGTAGAACTAAGCCCGGAGTTTGGAAGAAGAAACCAATATAGAACAAAGGAACCCTCTTTTTGATGGGAAGGATCAGGCATATTGAAGATCAAGAAAAAAACAGGGAGATGGATTGAGAATATTAATTAGCACTATTAGAGCGGAAGGACGAACGGAGCGGGCAGATTGGAAACAAGAAGCGGTGGAATCAAGAAAGGCGAGTGCAAATCAACACGCTGCAAAGGGGAAAAACCGCGATTTTTGGACACCATAATTGTCGAGTTGCCCTTGCCAGGAACAATGGCAACAGGAGCGATAAGGGGATCCAGTTCCGATGGAGAAGCGCATAGGAACAGAGATCCCCGTTGTGCTCATGAGACTCCAACAATGAACCCACAATGAGCCGCCGCCACAGAAACTAAGATTAGATTAGAACACACCACAAAAAAAGATGCAGAAGAGAGCGAAACGGGGATCGACGATGGATTCCCGCCGCTCTGTAGCCTCCTCTGCTCCCGAGAACTCGCCACCAAATGCAAGACAAAAGGCAGCAAAAAGGAATTAGATAGAATGGAAGAGATTGAGCAGAAATCACCACGGACTCTCGGTGCTGTTTAGCCTCCCCGTCCACAAACTTGAAAAGGTTGACGCATCGCAAGAAACAGGCGATAGGAACAGGGGTTGGACCAAAATCTTCAGCGAAAAAGAAAACAAGAATCTAGATTCAAGGGGCGCGGCTCCACCACATGAGCGACCAAGGAAGAACAGAGCCGGCGGCGCGGAGGAGATCCTTACCTACGGCGCTTGGATTTCTCTGGGGATTGGTTCGATGTGCGCACAAACTCAGAGAAGGAAAATGAATGCTGCGTAAATTATGGGGAAAGGGGAGGGAGTAGTGGCTGGTCTCTATCCTCACTTTCTCCGGAGGGTAAATGGCAGTCAAGCAGGGTCAAAAGGAAGTCAGAGGAAAGGAGGGAGGCAGGCGCGGCAAACGAAGGAGAAGGGCCGAAGATTTCGGTGCGGAGTAGGGCGCGCGTGAAGCGTCCTCCGCCGCCGTTCTGTCATGCGGTGCTCGGTACCGACCGGGAACGTGCACGGTTCACTCGTTGGACTTCTTGTCTGCGATTTCTTCTAAAAAAAAGAAAGAGATACTTCTTCGTCTGCAGTTATTATAACCAAGAAAAAAAATAGCGCCCTTAGCGAAATAGCGTCAGCCTTGGAATATATTTTGTTTTTCGAAAAAACTTCCGATCTATTTATCTTCAATCATGACAGTACAACGAACACAGAAATAAAAATTACATCTAGATCCGCAGACCACCTAGCGACGATACAAGCACTGAAGCGAGCCGAAGGCACGCCGCTGTCTTCGCCCCTCCATCGCCGAAGGTGTGCCACTTGTTGTAATAGACACTCGCGAAGTCGTCGTGCTAAGACCCCATAGGACCAGCGCACCAGAACAGCAACCACCGCCGATGAAGAATAACGTAGGTCAAAAGGATCCAACCCGAAAACACAAGAACATAGACAAGCAATGACGAGATCCGAGGAAATCCGCCAAAGACAGATCCGTCGGAGATGCACCTTCATACACCCACCAACGATGCTAGACGCACCGCCAGAACAGGGACTAGGTGGATAGACCTTTATTCCATCTACAGTTATTAACCTATAATAACTGCAGACTAGGTGGATAGACTTTTTAGAGTCTAGTGACTTTTTAGTTGGGATTAAAAAAGTCCTAAGACTTATGAACCAAACAGGGCCTCACTTCTTGTCTGCGATTTCTAAAAAAAAGAAACTTCTTCGTCTGCAGTTATTAAAACCAAGAAAAAAAATAGCACCCTTAGCAAAATAGCGTCGGCCTTTGAATATATTTTGTTTTTTGAAAAAGCTTTCGATCTATTTATCCTCAATCATGACAGTACAACGAACACCCGAAATAAAAATTGCATCTAGATCCGCAGACCACCTAGCGATGATATAAGCACTGAAACGAGCCGAAGGCATGCCGCTGTCATCGCCCCTCCATCGCCGAAATCGGGCAAAACTTGTTGTAATAGACACTCCGGAAGTCGTTGCGCTAAGGCCCCATGAGACCAGCACACCAAAACAGCAACCGCCGCTGATGAAGAATAACGTAGGTCAAAAGGATCCAACCCGAAAACACACGAACAACGACGAGATCCGAGCAAATCCACCAAAGACAGATCCGCCGGAGACACACCTCCACACACCCACCAACGATGCTAGACACATCGCCAGAATAGGGACTAGGTGAGTAGACCTTTATTTCATTTTCAAAAAGTTGTCGCCGTCTCGCCTTCCTAAGCAGGACACAAACCCTAACAAGATAAAAAAAGACTAAAAATGGAGCCCTCACGCCGGCCCTTGCCAGGATCCACCGTGCGTCCATGGCCTTGGGCCAGCGAAGACGAGGCGGACCTGCGTCGGCGCCTACAAGTCTTGGCAACGATCACAGTCATTCAAACACGTTTTGACGGACTCGCTATCATCAATCATCAGTATGTCTAACAGAAAAATCTGGTTGTATACATCGTCGGCCTTGGAATATGTTATTATATGCTAATAGTGAGACTTTGTACATCGATTTATTTAGTGAGGCAATTTCCATAACATTATAGTGTATATAGTGTATTATTAGTGACGCTATAAAGCGTTATTTTTTTCATTGATTAAAAAGAATAACTAGGTTAAAAAAGGGTAGCTGGATGGTGTGCTACAAAAAATATTAAAATGATTTATACTGACCAGTTGAAATGTTCAGTCACTCCATGCGCCACACTCAAACAAATAGCTGTAGAGATTTATACATCTATTAAAATGATTTATACTGACCAGTTACAAAAGGATAGCTGGATGGTGTGCTCTTCGTTTGAAATGATCTATACTGACCAGTTGAAATGTTGCAGCTGATTGAAAACCAAACTGCTGTGCAGCCGAAACTGCACGCACGACATACAGCCGGCAATCATATCCAACGATGCACCAGTGCTGCTGCCATGCACCGTATGGTGTAATTTCAGCGTCATCCACAAATCATGTGTATAAAATCAGTGCTGGATTGAAAAAGTTTAAGCCAAGTTAATAGTACAAGATTCCTCTACAGCAGTATATAGTGATTTGATTATATGTAGGACTGGAACCTGGTCCCGTTTCTCGGACAGAAAGAAGGCTATGGTGCTCTCATCCCGTCCTATGAGATTCCTTCTGCCAAGACATGGCAGCACCTGCTAGACACACTGCAATTTTAAGTACACCATGCAACTTCTCAGCACGCTTGCGGTCCACGATTCTTGTCCCCTCGTGAGCCGTGCTCCATGGCCGGTCTGCACGGCACCCAGCAGTGGGAGTGAACCGGCTGATGGGTAGGTGTTGGGTGCCTCGATCGCAACGTGGACACAGCACGCCGGCACGCTTGGGCACATCGCTTGGCCTCCACGAGCGACAAGCGCCACCGTGATGATCTCGACGACGGAGATGGGCATAGCGGCGGCCCCGCCGTGGTTGAGGTTGTCCGTGTCCGAGGCGTGGGTTCGGCAGAGCGCGAGCAAGCCGGCAGCGGGTCTATACGTGGTGGAGATAGCGCGGACTTCACACGTGGTGAGCATGAAAAGTGCTCCTTTTTTAACCATGTACTCCACGTGGTGAGTATAGTGTTTTTTGTGTAATCACCAATAAATTAAGCTGTAGCACAATCATCTTTCCACAATAATAAAAGAACAGTCCTTTGTGGTGTCTCCTCTATATCTAGCAGTTTGGTTTTGAAATCTATCACAGCGCATTTGCACCTTTATAAGGCAACTCAAACGCCGATCCTTAAGAGTATTTCCAACGGCAACTCTATTTTAGGCACCATAAATTTGTTGAAGTAAAATTTCAAGCATCAAAACATAATTTTTAGGGCACTCGAAAATCTTCATCTTCAACAGCTGCCCTAACATAGGGCACTTCAAACTTTTTTTTAATATCTAAACATAGTTCACTTTAAATATTTAAAGTTTTAAACATCTAAACATTGCATATATTAAACGAACATTCGAACTACTAGATCATCCTAACATTACTACCATCTACTCCATGGACACCCTACATGTTGTTCCAGTCAATGTCGTTGGACTCGTCACTTTCATTGCCGGGCTCAACCTCGTCGTTGGACTGAAGCTTGACCACACCAAAGGGGCCAGCTTCATTCTCCGTCTTGCGCCTGCCTTCTTGGGCTCGTTGTCCCTCTTCCAGCAAAACTCCATCTCTGCCTGCACGAGGTGCGGGTTGTCCCTCGCGAACCTCGCCATCGTTGCCTCATCCCTCTCCCGGGTGTCCCTCTGCCCGAGGACGATGTGGGTCTCCCTCATGGTTGGGCGGGACTCAATGGTCGTCGGTGGCCCGATGAACTCCACATCTGCCTGCGTCTCGATCTCCAGGAAGTTGATCTCCTGGTCAAGCTTTGTCTCAACTAGGTCATGGCCAATACAGACGCATTGAGTCCCGCACTAGATAAAAAGATGGGGCATGAGGTTTGCGGCGCTGCAAACTTTGCATGTTCTCCCAGGCATGCTATTACCTCCGTCCTGATTTATCAGACCTCTTCGTATTTTATGCCAAAATTTGACCATAGATTTAACTGACAAAATGTTAATGCATGTTATCGAAAGTATCACTGTATTCGTATTTGGATATAGGTTACAATGATACTATTTTTTGGGACATGCATTACATTTTGCTAATTAAA